ATTTAGGAGATTTCATGATACATTTAGGATTATTTTAGAAGACATTCTCAATCCAATGCAACATTTCATGTTTTATTAACTTTTTTGTTTTGGTCAAATGCTTCATTAACTTATAAAGTGCTTTTTATCTAAAACACTTTCATATTTAAAGTTTAAATCTGAGACTTTTGAGTAAAAAAGGAGTAACATTATCCATTACATCACATCCTTTGATGGTCAAAGAATGAGTTTATAAGAGAAATACATTTGCACAAGACTAAATAGTACTTTTCTAAGTATAAAAAATTAATTGCTTTTTCATCTCATATTTTAAGGGTGATGTAGCCAATTTTTACTTTTCGGCTTATTAATAAATTAAAAAAAAAACTATATTCAATTTATTTTTAAACATATATATTTTTAAACGCTTTTCAAACAAATATTTCTAGTAAGAAGCATATTTTGTTTGATCATTAAATTAAAAAACACTTTGAATAATAATTAGTGTTTGACTAAATTTTTAAAAAATATTCTAAGAGTTGTTTGGATGGCTTTTGTCCTTTTTGACTTAAAAATATGACAACAACAACAATATATTCGGTGGAATTTCATTAAATAGGGGTCTGGAGAGGATAGAATGTGTGTAAATTTTATCACTACCTCGTGGAGATAGAGAGGTTGTTTTCCAATGATCCTCGGCTCAAATGCATCAAATCCTAGTAAATCAAACAATATAAAAGTGCTTAAAACTATTTTGGCTTTAATATAAACTAATTCAAATAGGGTCTAAGTGTATTTTTCTCAATTTTTATTTTTTTAAAAACATGTTTTTTTTTAGTTTCTGAAAACAACTTCTACTACTCGACAAAAAAATCTTTTAAAAATGAAAAAATATTCTAAAAGTAGGTTTTACTAATTCACCTTTAAATTTGGTGCAGATGACAAGTAGAGTATTTTTTTTTAGATGACAAGTAGAGTATACTCCAACGATGGAGTATTAAATTTATCGATATGGTGAAGAGCTTTTTATGAAAATCTCAGCCACATTATTGTAAGAAATTTCCAAAAAAATAATTCAAAGCAATTAAAGTTTTTTGAACTCATCATATAGAAAAATCTAAATGAAAGATAAAAATGAAAGAATATTCTAAAAGTAGTCTTGAAATTTGAACAATTAAGTTAGGGGAAAAGGACATGATATACCCCTCAACATTCCTATTTAGAGCTGATATACCCTCGTCCTCGTTATAAAAGTGACTCATATATACTCCTATTGTTATACAAATGACTCACATATACCATTTTCCTCTAACGGAAGTGAAATTTTATTTTATTTTTGAAAAAAAGTATAATTCATATGGGATATATTTGATCCTCCTCACACATATTTTTTTTTGTTTGAACGATCAATTTAAATTTATTATTTTGATGGTCAAATTTAATTTTGTATCAGTCATTTTCTTGCAAAAATTATTGTAGATGCCCAATTTTTTTTACAAATACAAAAACTAAATTGCAATATAGTCACAAAAAATAGTTATAATTTTTTTCATTACACTAAAGAATGAAAGAAAAAAAGAATAAAAAACTCAAATAATGATAATTAAAGAAATCAAAATATAATTTATGCATGAAAAATATTAAAATATATCTTGAACTTTACAGATCATATATACATGACTTTTTTTAAAATTTAAAATCAAAAGACTAAATTTTAAACTAATTTTTTTTAACTTTCAATAGACAAAGGGTATATGTAAACTCATTTTATGACAGTAAGGATATATATATGCCATTTGTATTTGTATAATTGTAAGAGCATATATGAATCACTTTAATAAGAGCGAAACAAAGTTGAGGGCCCTTTCCCTTAATGGAGGTGACCATACTTGTGAATTGTGATAACCAAATGCTTGCATGAATGAGTAAACATGCTTGGCTTATCAAGCTCGGCCTTGACACTAGTCCTCTTTACGCTACAAATCTCATTGCTCACTATGTTTCCTCTCCAATCCCCAACTCCCTTACCATTGCCCAGAAGGTGTTCGACCAAGTGCCTCACAAAGACACAACCTTATGGACCTCTCTCATCTCATCCTACGCTCGTTCCAATCAACCCCACAAAGCCCTTCACCTCTTCTCCGTCATGCTCAACCAATATCAATCCAATCCAGATACTGCTGCTCAGCCCAATCACTTCGTCTTCACAGCTGTTGCTCGCGCCATTGCTTCTTCTCCACAGAACTTCAAATTGGGGCAAAACTTGCATGCCCATGTTATGAAGTCTGGATTTTTGCCTGGAGATATTGTTGTTGAGACTGCTTTCTTGGATTTGTATTCGAAATGTGGGGTAGTGGAATGTGCCCGGATGATGTTTGATGAAATGTGTAGGAGAAATTTGGTGACGTGGAACGCTGTGATTTCTGGGTATGTTCAGAATGGACGGGAGTGTGAAGGGTTGGAGTTGTTTTATCAAATGAAGTGTAGAGAATTTTACGTGCCTGATGAGTATACCGTTGCTACTGTTTTATCTGGTTGTGGCTATGTACAGGAGCTTTTTCTGGGCATGCAAGTTCATGGTTATGCGTTTGTTAGTGGGTTTGAGTCGAGTTGTAGAAATTCAATTGCTAATATGTATTTTTATTGTAGTAGAGTTGGATTGGCGGAGAAAGTTTTTGTCGGAACAGAGAGGGATGTTGTTTCTAAGCTTGTAAAGATAAGGGGTTATGTATTTAATCATATGTATGCTGATGCTGTGAGGTACATTTTGTCAATGGAGAATGCTGTTGAAATTTTAGTTATGGATCAGACTATTTTCGTGCCTCTGCTATCTGCTTGCGCCAAGATGCGTTTGCTCAATGCTGGGAAGCAAGTCCATGGTCTCTTTATCACTTTGGTGAATTCATATAAAACTGCTTGTTTATTAAAAGAGAGCAGAGCGATTATTGGCAGTGCACTCATAGACATGTACGGCAAGTGCAGTGATATTGGTAAAGCGCGAAAAGTTTTTGAAAGTTGGCTACCTGAACGACATGCTCCACTGTGGAATTCTTTGTTGTCTGGTTATATTAATAATGGACTAATCGAAGATGCCAAGGCACTCTTTGAGCATATGCCCGAGAAAACTATTGTTTCTTGGACAAGCATGATGACAGGATATGTGCAAAAGGGCTTGCCCCGAGAAGGCTTAAATTTATTGGCTAAGATGTATTCTGGAGAAGAAAGAGATAGGCTAGAAGGAAACTGCTTGACCTTTGTGGTAGCTCTTGAAGCATGTTCCCATCTAACAGATTTGGACAAAGGAAAGCAAATACATGCAAAAATTATTAGAGAGTTGCCGGATGCGGATGACAATGTAGCTGTTGGAACAGCTTTAGTTGACATGTATTCAAAATCAGGTCACTTGTGTTACACATTACGACTTTTTGATGCGATGGAAGAGAAAAATGTTGTTTCATGGACTTCTGCAATCATGGGATTTGCTGTTCATGGATTTGCTTTCCAAGCCCTTGAACTTTTTCAGCGTATGGTAAACATGGGAATTAATCCCAATGAAGTGACATTTACTGCAGTACTAACTGCTTGCCGTCATTGTGGTTTAGTAGATGAGGGAATGCAATATTTTACGCTAATGTGGAAGCAGTATGGTTTGACCCCTGATGAAGAACATTATACATGTCTAATTGACTTATTGGGACGTAATGGAAGGCTTGAGGAAGCATGGCATTTGGTGGAGGGAATGGAAGAGAACCATCTAAATGATGGGTGCTCTACAGGTACCATTTGGGCTGCACTTCTAGGGGCCTGTCAGTTGTATGAAAACGTTGAAATTGGAAAGAAGGTAGCTGAAAAGCTGTCGGAAAAGGAGATACTGATATCTACTGCTTCTATTGCGCTATCTAATGTTTATGCAGCAGCTGGAATGTGGAATGAAGTGTACAGAGTGAGAGAGAGTTGGAGAAAAAAAGGTCATGCTGATGGAGAGCCTGGTCTTAGCCGCATATGTACACAACCCTATTAATACGAAATTCTTAGACACAGTGTTGTTGCCCTTTTATGTAAATGGTGAGTCATTAGTGTTTTTTGCAATGAGAAAAGTTATTTCAAGGTACAACATTTCCTTTGGTTATGCAAAATGGGAGAACCTTTGGCTGCTTCCTTTTTTTTGTTGACTTGTTCAAGGTCTGCTTCCATGTTTGGTTGGCTTGTCTCAAGATGTATAATATCAGTTGTACATGTTGACTTGCAACTATTTGACATATTACTTCTTCGTTCCATTGTGTATCGATAGAAAAATACATTTTGAGTAATTTCTGCAGTAATTCTGCGCAAAATTCTCAGAATTTTTATAAATTGATGGACAATCCTGATGCAGTTTTTGTACATTCAATAATACTACTGGAATATATCAGGATAACTTCACAAAGTAATGATATGAGTTGATTTAATTTATGTATTACTAATACTTGTACTACATTATATCTGGCATAACATAGTATGTATATTAAATAATACCCCCAACGGAACGAATAAACAAGTCATACTTATACGAGGTATTATACTGAGATTATTTTCTTAATTCGTCCTACCAAATGACCCCTATATATGTGTTATAAAGAGAAGACATTGAAAGTATTGCAACCAAATGAACATAATAAATCAAAGTTTAAATTGTTTATCTCCAAGTTTTCACCAAATATCCCTACAAATTCTTTCTACCAAAAGAATGTGTCGACCATATTCTGCGGGAACTTCAATGGAAAAAAACTTCCAACATTTCTCCCTCCTCCTAAAAATAGCCTAAACATATTTCTAGGTTTTCCCTTTTTAGACAGCCTAATTAGCTAGCTATCTATCTATCTATCTATTCCCTTTTTAGTTATATATATCAACAAAATTTGTAAAGGCAAATACGATTGCCTAAACCAGAATTTATAGATTATAGAATTGTATGTGTTTTAGAAATTCGTAGCTATTCTAGCAAATTAGAGTTGGATATTTAGAAATTAAAAAAAGAAAACATGGGTTGTTTTTCATGTTTTTCATCACAAGAAAAGAAGGCATTCAAAAGAATACATAGCAAAAGCAAAGAAACATCTGATGTTGTTCGTCAAAGAGAAACTCTCTTGCATCAACAACAACAACAACGTCCACATTCATTATCGAGGCCAAAGCCACAGCAGGATCAGCGTTCTCATTCGCAACCTCTATCTGGTATATTTTTCTTCATAACTTCAAATGTAACATAAAAATGTTTGCTTTATAATCCTCTCATTGTGACTCCCTTAAAAGTTAAGGGTGGAGGGTGTAATTACCACCTGAGCAACCCCGTCTCATCGGAGGCTGGAGCTATTATGGGAATATGGGGAATACTGTGACCATAAAACAAGATGAATTTTTTGAAGACAAGTTAGAATAGAAAAGTAAAGCAGAGGGAGACGGTTGTAGACATAATACATAAACGTCACCTTTAACTTGAACTCATTTTACATTTATGCCCTTCAACTTTGGATGTGTACAAGTAGATACTTAAACTTGTATAAAATTGAACAAATAGACACATGAGTCCTGTGTGGCATAATACACGGACGACACCATGTAGGATGCACATTGCCAAGTTAAAGGGCATATTTATGTATTATGCCTGAAATAAAATAAGTGATTCTCTATGATACTATAAAGTTTCAGATTAGTTTTTGCTTTCTTAATACATAAATCTTCTGCAGAAAATACTAGAAAGGTGCCAGCAGAAACCACACACCAAAAGTCTTCTAACAAAGGCGAAAGCCAGAACATTGCAGCTCAAACATTCACCTTCAGGGAACTGGCAACAGCTACGAAGAACTTCCGATCAGAATGTCTGATAGGAGAAGGTGGATTTGGACGTGTTTACAAGGGACACCTTAACAAAACTGGCCAGGTGCTTCAACACTTCAATATTTCTGCTATTTGTTTCAATACATAACTAGCATTTTGCCGTGAAACTGTACTAATCATCACTTCATTTTGTCCAGACTGTAGCAGTGAAACAGCTTGACCGCAATGGATTGCAAGGAAACCGAGAATTTCTTGTGGAGGTGTTGATGTTGAGCCTTCTGCACCATTCAAATCTTGTAAATCTAATTGGCTATTGTGCTGACGGAGATCAAAGACTTCTTGTTTATGAGTACATGTCATTGGGATCATTGGAGGATCATCTGCTTGGTATTTATGTTTTCCTAAGTATTATTATTCTACGTGTCCCACTTGTGGAACTATACTGAGTATGTCGTTGTTGCTGTTGTTCTTATTACTCTACCGGCATTTGAAATTTGCTATTGTGATAGTAAAACAATATCTGTATAATCTTTTAATTTTTCTAATTCCCTTGCTGCGATAAGGCTGAATACCATATTAGAAGAATCTTAAAAACATTTTCTACTGCCAACAAGCACCTTCTTAGTGCAGAAGATGAAACAATACTCTTTAAAATGTGTAACAAAATCAAGAAACTATTATTTATCCTCCACAACTGTAAAGGGGAGTTTTGAGTAATGAACTGGCGTCATAGCATTCCGTTTCATGTATACTAGCTACCTTTGTTTACGAAAGCAACATATTGCCTATTACTATCAAACTAATGAAGAATCGTATATATATGTATGTGTGTGTGTGTTTCTTCAGATCTTGAACGAGATAAACTTCCACTAGATTGGTTCACAAGGATGAAAATAGCATTACATGCTGCAAATGGACTCGAATATTTACATCATAGAGCCAATCCACCAGTCATTTACCGTGACTTGAAGTCCTCAAACATCTTGCTGGATAAGGAACATAATGCAAAACTGTCAGACTTCGGGTTAGCCAAGGTTGGACCTACAGGGGAAAACACCCATGTATCATCAAGAGTCATGGGAACGTACGGTTATTGTGCTCCTGAGTACCAACAAACTGGCAAGCTGACTATCAAGTCTGACGTCTATAGCTTTGGTGTAGTTTTATTGGAGCTAATTACAGGTAGGAGAGCAGTTGATATCACAAGATTTGGGCATCAGCAGAACTTAGTTACTTGGGTAAGCGAAACATTTCTCCTTCCTTTCTTCTTTGACCTTAATGACTATTTTATGATGAAACATACGCCATTGAATATTACATGATCCAACACCAGTAGTGTTTACCGAGCCAGATTGCAGAAATCTATGTTTCTTTCATATCTAAAATGCTGTCATAAAATTAATAAGGATTGGAGAAATGCTCCTTAACTTTTGGGCTACTTTTATTGTTTATTGTTGCAAATATAACTTTCCGACAAAGAGGATTCATTTCATTGCAAGTGGCTCCGCCACTGGTATTGATCATGACTGATAACTGAATGACATAGATAACCTAGTTTCTAATATTTCTTTTTCCCTCTTGAGGCTGATGTTCGATTTACTTCTAAATTCAACGGGTTGTTGATTTATTAAAAGACCATGTTGTGTTGTCCTACTCCGCGTTTTAAGCAAAAAGATGTTCTTTCTTATGCTTCTTCCAGGCTGAACCCATATTCAAAGACACAAAGAGACACATTGAACTAGCTGATCCACTTCTTGGAGCAAATTTCCCAAGGAAAAATTTCAGTCAGGCTGTTGCTATTGCTTCTATGTGTCTGCAAGATGATCCAGTAGTACGTCCTCTTATTAGTGATGTGGTCACTGCACTCAGTACCCTTTCAGTACCTGATTCACCATTCGCTTCTCCAACTCGAGCACCACCCCCAATGCATATGTCAACTGAAGACAACATAATATCTACAAGAGAGTGCCAAGAAGAACTCGCAGAAGCCATAGAATGGGGTTCAAATTCAAGAAAACAGAATGCAAGATCACTAGCATCTTGCGGTTCTTCAGTGTGACATCCAAATTTCGGCTAGTCACTCCATAACAGAATTAAGTAAACAAAGATGATCATGTTGCTTCAGCCCTCCAGAGATGTTGTTAAGTGATCATCTAGTACTACCACTGTTTGAATAGTACTTCAAATATTGTGTATCTTACAAAAATGGACAATTTGTTACAGCCACTGTAGCAGGGAATCCAAAGAAATGATGTATACTAGCTCGCAGAATGAAGAATCTACATGTCCTTACTTAATACGATTCAACTTATATACATTGACTCTGTAGATTCTTTTACGGCTATCAGTGTAATATTAATTTGTGTAGTGCTTTAACTCAACAATATAATCACGACTCACACGAGTAGTAGTTTCAATTTTCTTTCTGGAATCATTTGTCTGTTGGGATTACTATTCCAAGAGTTCTGTAGTTCTCATCTTTATCATATGATCTGAAAATCACTGCTTCCAACATAAAAAAAATTCTTAACTACGTGTTTTAGGCTTAGTTCCTACTTAGCAAGGTGATCACTTTTATAAAATCTGATTAGTACAACTTGTATCTTGACTAATAAGGATAAATCCGTTAGATAAACAAAAGATATAGAAATATGGCAAGATCATGTAACATCATAGAGTTGAGTTGGTTTGGATATTTTAAATATCAAACCAAATCATTTGTGTCGCATGCAGGACCGGCTCTATGTTTTGGGAAATAAGGCTTTTGCCTTAGGCCCCTAAATTTCAGGGGCCTCAAATTTTTATCAAGAATAAACTATGTGTTAAAATTTCTATAGGAAAAAAATGATTATTTATGATAAAAAGTATAAATTTTTTTAAAATATATTATTTTACCCACTTTAACATCTTTTGTACTTTGTTAAAAATAAGAATTAATAATGAAAAGTGTTGAACAAAGTGAATTACAAATTCTTTTTATTTCTTTTTAAATTTTAGTTTCAAGCATTACTACAAGCATATTAAAATGGGGTATACCAAGTCATCAACTTCTTGCGTCAAATTCTATGGTTCTAACTCTTATCTTTATTTAATATTTTTCAACTTATTACTTATATAATTATGTTAATAATTCATATGATAATTGCCTCACTGAAATGATGTTTTTCAATGTTGAGTTGATAAAATCTTACCTAAAACTAATAACTGAAAAAACAATATAAAAATACTAACAAGTTTCATCTAAATAGTGTAAGAAAAATAAATTTTGAATAAATATGTATATGAAGTTTGTTTATATTTTAGGCCCCGAATTGAAATTTCGCTTTAGGCCCCCAATCACGTTGAGTCTCCCCTAGTCGCATTTTTTGAATCTATAAACCAAATCAAATTAATAAAAAGGAAAGTGGAATTACCGGTATATCAAAATTCTTCTACTAAATAAATTCCATTTAGTCAATGCATCGTCAGTTCGTCACCAAATTTAAGGGTAGGTCGTTTCGTTTTTTTAAGAAAAAATTAAGATTTCTGAATCTAAATACTCATCTGAGCAATATAACGGTATATTTAGATTTGAATATTGAATTATTTAAACCGTTTGTTTTCTCAACATCTGAATATTTATAATTTATGTTTATTAAACTTAATAAATAAAAAATTCAAAAATAAACATATGGTGCCCTAAATCGCATACGCAAGTATGCACAATCAATCAAGTAGTAAAGAGTTAGTAAAAAAAATCAAGTAAAGAGTTGTAAAAAATCAAGTACTAATAAAGAATTAGTAAAGTATCATTCTCACGAGGACGTATGACTAACTATCACTATATTAAGCTAATTCTAATTTATCTAGCCAATTTTTTTTTAGGTTAGGGATGATTTTTCAGATTAATTTAACAAGTTAAATTTTGTTATAAAATATTAGCAATATTGAACACTCAATACAAACAAGAGATATAAAGAGTAGAATGTAGAGATCATCTTATTCACATGTCTTCAAGTATTTCTTACAATAGTGTGTTTAGGGATGGCAATGGGGCGGTGCGGGGTGGGGATGGGGCGGGTTGAGCTTAATCCACAAATTTTTTAACCCCTCCTGCCCTGCCCCGCATAACAACTTTTTCCATTCTCAACCCGCCCCACCCCGCCCCGCATAACTTTTTTAATATTTTCTTTTCTAATTAAGTTTGATACTAAATATAAAATTCATAACAATAAATTCTTTTTTTTCATTAAGTTATATTAATTTAATAGGATAGTGACTTTAAAAAAAAATTAGATTGGAAATCATGTAAGAAATAATATTTTTTTTTATTGAACCATTTTCATATACTATCTCAAATATTTTAGTAGATTTATAGAAATTATCTTAATAAATAATGCTCTATCACTCTTATAACATGTAAAAAGTTAAAATTAAATTTGAACCCACATAAAATCATATATACCCGCAACCCACCCCACCCCACATTAATTTTTAAAAAACCCACTTTAACCCGCCCCGCATCCCACCCGCTCCGCACAATCTTAAACCCGCCCCGCCCCATATAGCCTTAAACCCACCCCACCACGCCCCATTGCCATCCCTAAGTGTTTTAGTTTTAACTAGTGAATATGGCTCTCACTCTCTTCGAGAAAGTGAATACACTTCCTTTGTCATATCAGCATTTAGGGTGAAATTAATTCTTTAAAATAGTCCAAGAGGGTAATAAGACCCCGATAAAGTATAAGTCTGTAGTTGAGAATTTGATTATAGGTTGGAGTGACATTTGACTATTTCTCTAATATATATATTTACATACACACATACTCTTATGCAGGAAGGACATCCTATAGCTTTCATTAGTAAAGCTTTATCCCCACACATGCTGCCATGTCCGTGTATGATAGAGAATTATTAGCCATTGTCCGTGTTGTAACTATGTAGTCTCAGTACCTACTAGGACAAAAATTCATCATAAGGACTAATCAGAAAGCTCTGAAGTTTCTTATGGAGCAGAAACTATACACAAATTCTCAATTGTTATGGTTAACCAAGTTGATGCCCTTTGACTATGCCATTGGATACAAAAAGAGGAGTTGATAATAAGGTAGCAGATGCCCTCTCTAGAGTTTCTGGTGCTGAACTATTGGCTTTGGTGGTGTCCCCTACTGGTATTGATTTATTCCAAGCTATAGTAGATAGTTGGTCTTCAGATGCTGAACTTCAACAACTCATTACAGACTTACAAACAGATCCTTCTACTCATAAGCAATTTACTTGGTCCCAAGGTCACCTTAGAAGAAAAGGGAAGCTAGTTATTGGCAAGGATCAAAATCTTAGGACTGAGATTATGACATTGTGGCATTCAGGTTCTCAAGAAGGTCATTCAGGTGTGGAGGCTACACTAAAAAGGCTTCTCACTTTGTTCTATTGGAAACATATGAGGATTGACATAAATAGTTTATTAAGAGGTGTGATGTTTGCCAAAAGGTTAAGTCTGATCTTGCGGCATATTCGGGATTACTACAACCTCTTCCTATTCCTGATATAATTTGGTCACAAATTAGCATGGATTCTATTGATAGATTACCTAAATCCAATGGCTATGAAGTGATATTAGTGGTGGTGGATAGGCCCAGTAAGTATGGGCATTTCATTCCTCTTAAACATCCTTATACTGCTCAGTCAATTACTCAAGTGTTGTTTGATACAGTTGTTAAGCTGCATGGCTTATCTGAGACCATTACTAGTGATATGGATGTTGTTTTCTTGAGTTCATTTTGGCAAGGACTATTCATCATCCAAGGGGTATAACTTAATACTTCTACTGCCTATCATCCTCAATCTGATGGACATGTTAACCATGTGTTTGGAGACATATTTGTGATGCTACTGTCATAAGGATGCCTTGACTTGTGTTGCTTGTTTGTCTAAGTATTGGTACAATACTTCATACCACTCAGCCATTCAGATTACTCCTTATGAGGCCTTATATGGTCGACCACCCCCTCTCCATTTACCTTACCTGCCAGGGGACTCGTCTTCAGCAGAGGTTGATAGTACATTAGTTAGTAGGGAACTAAAGTTATAACTTCTTAAACATCATCTGAGTAGAGCTCAACTGAGGATGAAACAATAAGTTGATTCTCATAGGAGTGACATAAATTTTAATATAGGAGATTGAGTTTACTTCAAAATCCAACCTTACAAACAAGCCACTATTGCCAACCATACTTCTCATAAGTTGGCTGCAAAGTTCTATGGTCCATTTCAATTTTACAGAGAGTTGGTCCAGTTGCTTACACTCTCCTATTACATAGTTCTATCAAAATACACAATATTGTGCATGTTTCTCTCTTAAAGAAGTGTTATGAAGTGCCTACCCAAATCTCTTATCCTCCTACTATTGATTTGGCTAGACCTCTTTGCCCTGAACCTGAACTAGTGTTGTAGCGAAGGATGGTCAAGCGGGGTAACAAGGTTGTTGCTCAATCTGGTCAAGTGGTTGGTTTTCCTGCTGACAATGCCACTTGGGAATTTGCTACTGTTTTGAAGAATAGGTTTCCCTTGTTTGATCCTTGAGGGCAAGGATCTTTTATTGGGGGGAGTACTTTTATAGGAAAAAGAGATTTTCACATATTAATTGGTGATAGAAGTTAGTTATGGTTAGGCGCAGAAATCGAAATAACAGAGTTAGTTAGAATGCAATCCATTTTAGCTGTATTTCAATCTTATATAAAGTTTAATACAGTTCATCATAGCAGATATGAAATACACAGTTCATTTTTCTCTCTTCTTTTCTCTTCTTCAATTCATCTCTATTGATTGCATCCTCGAGTTCTCTTCTGAACAATCTTTCGATCCTCAAATCTTTAAGATTCCTGAAATCAGCCATTATCCAATAACCTTTATATATATATATATATATATATATATATGTATAGTAATATATATATATATATATATATATATATATATATATATATATATATATATATATATATATATATATATATATATATATATATATATATATATATATATATATATATATATATATATATATATATATATATATATATATATA